TTTTTACACCCTTTCCAGTTTAATAACATCCTTCCTATGGCAGGGCAACCAGAACCATTAAATCCATCCCATTCTCTCAGTTAATCCATCTCCGTCATATATGTTCAGATGAGGCCAACTTCGTCAAGAGAGCCTCCAAAATGTCCACCTTCTTCCTCAACCAAGGATTCCCAAGCACCGTTATCAATGGGGCCCTCAAACGGGTCCAAACCATCTCCCACACTTCCGCCCTCACCCCCTCTCTTCCTTCCCGCAACAGCAATAGGGTTCCCCTTGTCCCTACCTAACATCCCACCAGATCCACATCCAGAAGATCATCAGACGCCATTTCCGCCACCTCCAGACACATGTTCCCCTCCCATTGCTTGTCCACCTCCTGCAGGGTCTGTTCCTTCCGGACACCCTTGTCCACTCTTCCTTCACCCCCAACACCTTCCCCTGCAACTGGCAAAGGTGCAACACCTGCCCATTTACCTCCTCCCTCCCCAGTATCCAAGGGCCCAAACATACCTTCCAGGTAATGCAACACTTCACCTGCACTTCCCCAAATCTAGTGTACTGCATTCACTGCTCACAATGTGTTCTCCTCTACATTGGGGAAGCAAAGCATAGACTGGGTGACTGCTTCGCAGAACATCTACGTTCCGCTCGCAAAAAAGACCCTGAACTACCTGTTGCCTGCCACTTTAATGCACTACCCTGTTCCCTGGCCAACATCTGTGTCTCTGGCTTGCTGCAGTGTTCCAGCGAAGCTCAGCACAAGCTGGAAGAACAACGCCTCATTTTCCGCTTGGGAACCCTGCAGCCCTCCGGACTCAATATCGAGTTCAATAATTTTAGGGCCTAAACTCTGCCATGTCCCAGCCCCCTACCCCACACACCAGGCCTTTTACCACATAGCCTGCCATTACTCATTACCTGTTCTTAGTCACTAATAGTCCCCATTACAACTATTCACCCTCCCAGCCTGAACGTTATCAACTGTTTGTCTGTCCAACTGCTCTTCTCTCTCTTTAGGCTCTATCCTATCATTTACTCCCTACCCCATCCCCCTCCCCCTTTCTATTTTCTGCATATAAAGTGACATTTTCCCAGCCACCATCAGTTCTGAGGAAGGGTCACTGGACCTGAAATGTTAACTCTGATTTTTCCTTCACAGGTGCTACCAGACCCGCTGAGCTTTTCCAGTAACTTTGTTTTTGTTCCTGATTTACAGCATCCGTCAGTCTTTCGGTTTTTAACCAGAATTGTATGCAGTACTCCAAACGTGGTGTGACCAATGCCTTGTCCCGCCATAAAATGGCATACCAACTCCTGTAGTCAATACTCTGACCAATGAAGCCAAATGCCTTCTTCACCACCCTGTCTACCTGTGACACCATTTTAAGGAATTATGTACCTGCACCCCTAGATTTCTGTTCGACAACACTCCCCAGGGCCCTACCGTTAACTGTGCAAGTCCTGCCCTAGTTTGTCTTACCAAAATGCAACACCTTGCATTTATCTAAATTAAACTCCATCTGCCATTCCATGACCCATTGGCCCAATTGATCAAGATCACATTGTACTCTTAGATAATCTGTTCAATGTCCACTGTATCACCAACTTTGGTGTCATTCATAAACTTAATAATCATGTCTCTTGTATTCTCATTCAAATTGTCTATGTAAATGTCAAATAACAGGGGACCCAGCATCAATCCTTGCTGCACACTGCTGGTCAGAGGCCTCCAGTCTGAACAACAACCCTCCACTCTTTTAAACAAAAACTGCAAACAGAAAAGTCAAGCCCACTTCAACTCTGTCCACACCTATGACTCTATGGGTAGGGATAATAAGGGGTCAAAATGTCGAATAAAAACTGTCTGACTCAGTCGAATGACAAGGAAACTAAACATCAAACCTCCTCAGCTCCAGCCCAATCAAATGTTCCCAGGACAGGGACAACAATGGTCTAAAAGTCAGAGGGTATGGTTCTTCTACCCATTGCAAATGAAAATAAAGTTCTCCTTATGTTGACCCCAACAAGTATTTCTGGGACAGGGACAACATGTGGTCAAAATAAAAGTCCCCTTGACTCTTTCAAAGGGTCCAAAGATGACGCAAAGGTAAAATAAAACAGCCCTCTTCCTGGGGTATCAAACCAAAAACAATCCCAAACGTAAAATCTAACAGAAACTTGTACTACGGAAACAAAAAAAAAAACCTGAATCAAAATATTGCTAATAATGCAGTCCAGCCCCGTGCAGTACCCACTGGTCACGAAAGGTCTCCACCATACTGGTGAGAACCACATGCTCCCACTCCAGGGACATACGAGCACAGATGTAACTGCGAAAAAGGAGCAGACAGAACCAACGAGCCCCTCCTTGGCCCACTGCCACAAGGAGGTCCGTAGACTTGTCCACCCCTTCCCACCATGGGTGCCCATAGTTCAGGAGCGAACAGCAACCAAAATTTCAACATCAGCCCCTTCAAAAAATGAAAAAGGGGCTGCAAACACATGCACTCGTGAAATATGGTCTCCTTCAGGCACAGAACGTGCACGTGGTCAGCACCCGGTAAATTTATACAGTCGCCAGTTGCACAGGACCAACACGTGCAGCATTCTCTACCCCAGATCTCCAATGTTAGAGGGGAGGATCGCTCTGTAGAGGGCCCTCCACTGGAGATCTTCATTGCCAGAGGGCAAAACATGACACCAAGTCGTACCCAGGCATTGGACCATAACATAGCAGTGAAGAGTGTGCAGCATCAGGACACAGATCATGCTTCCACACCGTGTGAAAGGGCACCAGGAGGATATCCTTGAGATGGTTCACACTGGGGGGCTCCACATCACGGGGAAGGGTCTGTGGCGCAGGGCCGACTTCGAGTCCCAGATCGACAGGTGTCAGTTTGTCCAAGTGCACATGAGGCGTTGGGGCCAAGTCCTTTGTCCACCTGGCTTGGATTGCAAACCGGGGATGCATCAGCACTCTCACAGCCAACTACGTCAGTGTCATCCAGCCAACTCCTCTGTTATCCAGTGTGTTCCCAATTCTGGTCAGCCCTGCGTCTCAAGCCTTCCCCCTTCCTCAGCCAGAGCAAACCGCACTCAAGGAGGAGCCAGTTTCTGAGCAGTGACTCCCTGACGAGAGCCACCACCACTCCCGTAGAGGGAGAGTTCTAGCACAAACAACAACCTTCTACCACCACCCTGTCTCCTACCATCAAGCCAATTTTGTATCCAATTAGCTAGCTCTTGCTGAATTCCCATGTGATCTAGCCTCACTAACCATTGGGAACCTTGTTGAAGGCCTTACTAAAGTCCATGTAGACAATATCTATCACTCTGCCTTCATCTCTCTTCTTGGTCACCTCTTCCAAAACCTAATTCAATGTTTGTGAGAGACAATTTCCCACGCACAAAGCTGTGCTGACTATCGCTAATCAGTTCTCGTTTTTCCAAACTCAAGTAGATCCTGTTTGTCAGAATCCCCTCCAATAACTTACCCACCACTGACGTCAGGCTCACCAGTCTATAGTTCCCTTGCTTTTCTTTACAGCCTCTCTTAAATAATGGCACATTAGCCAACCTCCAGAATTCTGGCACCTCACCCGTAGCTATCGATGATACAAATATCTCTGCTAGGGGCCCCGTAATTTCTTCCCTACCTTCCCACACAGTCCTGGGATAAACCTGATCAGGTCCCAGGGGATTTATTCATGTTTATGCATTTTAAGTCCTCCAGCACCTCTTCTTCTGTAACACAGACACTTTTCAAGACATCAATAGTACTTCCCTGCGTTCCCTAGCTTCCATGTCTTTCTCCACAGTAAATACTGACCCAAAATATTCGTTCAGGAATTCACCCATCTCCTCTGGTTCCACACATAGATGGCCTCATTGCTCTTTAAGGGGCTTTATTCTTTCCCTACTTACTCTTTTGCCCTTAATATACTTTTAGAATCTCTTTGGATCTCCTTAATCTTATCTGCCAAAGCAAACTCATGTCCCCTTTTTGCCCTCCAGATGTCCCTCTTAAGTATACTCCAACACCCACTGTACTCAAGGGATTCACTTGATCCCAGCTGTATATACTGGACATATGCCTCCTCCCTTTTCTTGGCCAGAGCCTCAATATCTCCAGTCATCCAGTGCTCCCTATTAAAGGGAAATTCTTATTTACCTACATGGAAACTCAATTGCCTTAAATTCCAGGGATGAGAAAATTTCAAGGCAAAGTAATATTGCAACAAACTAGTTTTAAAAAAATTTCAGTTACTTTTGCTATTAGAAGAAGCCAATTGTTAAAATTATTACACTGCTTGGTTATAATTAATTTCCATCAGCTAATTCTGTTGTAACATAGATAGTTATAAAAATACAACTTGAAAACATGCATTCTTGAGTGATAGAAAGCAGAGCTGGACTTAAAACTATCTATGCTTTAAACAATCATTATGTTCGCACATGTGCAGTGGCACTGTTTTTAGCTAATGAGATCCAACATGTTTAACATGTTGATAGCCATAGGCCTGACAACTCATTTGTGATAACTTAGTCAACACCTTAGGAAAATTACAGAATGAATAATGGGTCAGTTAGAGTTTCAGATCTTAACCTTCAGACCTTCTACTTACTTTTCACAATTTCTACATGCTTGAAATTCTCATCTTTTCTAACCAGCAGATGAATTAAGGATGAAATACTGTAAATTGAGTTGAATGCACATGGCTGCCGCCAGCGAGATCCTTTAACTACTGTCAGTTATTTGGGAGCTTTCAACTTGTTTGATACAGTTTTAGTAAAATTGACAAACTGTTAGATTCTTTTCTAAAAAAAAATGATGGATAATGCACTGAAGTTGTGATCTATTAAAAATCCTTATACAAAATAGTGCGCTATTAAAGTTTTTTTATGAAATTCAGAAGGATAAAAGGAGAAAAAGAGATAACAACAGACTGGCTGGTGAAAGAACTGACCAAAACAAACATTAATATAGATAGGTCGCCTACCTTATTGGACCATTTGTATGCCTGCAAAAGCTGACTATACAAGGGGGTTTTGTCCTGCACTGGATCAAGGCTCAATAAACCACTGTTATGGAGTGGGTGGCTCTCTGATGGCCGCCCCACCAGATTACTCAGACGTTCCAACTCACTGAAAAAAATCAAAAACAACAGCAGCCATTAGTTCATCAGCTTTACAGAACAAACTTCATGCATGCAGTCATTCTTATTTCAATTAACTCATTCAGAACAATAACTTAAAAACCCTTTCTTAAACAATTAACCAGAAGAATGAAAAAAACCAACTATGTCCAAACTTTGATGGGATTGTCAAATGTCTCTTTTTGGTGTGGAAACACAGGGATTTTTTAAAAAAATACAGTACTAGCATCACTAAATACAGACGCACTGAGAAAGCAAAAGGAAGAAAAAAAAAGAGATAGTATAACACATTCAGAGAGAAAGAGGCACAAAATTAATTATATAGTGGTAAAGAAATAGGAAAACAGTTGAGAACAACCTTCCCGTCAATAAGTTGTGCTAGAGAGGTAAAGCATTGTTCCATTATTAAAGTGCATTCCATGTTGCAAACTGTAAACTTCTATCGTAAAAACAGCACATTCTCAGGCTGACAGAGATTATCAAAAATAGTTAATCCTCTAGTCAGGTGTTACCACATCAATTGCTCAAAACACTTTGGAAGGTGTTTTGCAATGAAATAATGAAGAGTTTTCCACATTTTTGGCAGAACCTTAAAGGGTTTGAGTAGCTTGGGCTATGGCAGGATTACACAAGAACTCCAGCAAGATCTCTCAACATTAGGAGCAACTCGTTTAACTAAGTTTTGGGCATTCAAATAAGATTCTGGCACAGCAGCGAGTTGCCTATTAAGGAGGATTATTGTTTATTACTGGGCTCATTAACTGTGAATGTCACCTCATTAAAAATGCAAAGATTCTTGACATAGAAGTCAGAGTGGATACCAGACAATTGCAGTTTGCCAAGGGTTGCAAAGAGCTTCCATATTGGTCACCACGCAACAGCATCACAGGGCATGATCAAAAGGCACCGGCCACGTGCACCCCACATCGATAAATACTGGCATCCAACATCAGCCAGATTGTAAGAACCGTCAAGGCAGATCTTCAATTCACCTCACTTACAGCACGCTTCTGTACTTCAATGCAGCACCTTCGAACACACTAGCAACTGGCATTGCAATGCTGTAGCAAGGAAGACGCTTGTTCAGGGAGACATACCCAGCTCAGAGACTGAACTGCATCTCCAGCCTGTTCACTTGATCTCTTAGCAAAGTTCACATTAACCCTAACTAGATTCACACAGTATCCCTGCTTAGTGTTGCCTTTTCACATCTTGCCCCTTAGCCACAGATACTAGGCTTAGGGTACTACTGTCTTACCTTATCACTTAGCACAGAAGCTTGTTATAGTTGTCAGCAGTCCTCAGTCAAGAAAGATAGCCTCAGTCAGGGATCGCTGGTACAGCAAGCAAAAGGCAGCCTCCATACCAGTCCACAGGCTTGGACTCAGCCAGCCAGTCACTCAGCCAGCCAGCCAGTCACTCAGCCAGCCAGGATATAGTGGTCATAGTAAGGCTCCCACTCACATAACGAACAAAGAGCTGAATGTGAGGCAGCCAACCACCACCCACTGTAACTCTTTTTGCCCAATGATGGGCTGTTTTCTTTTAAATTCACTGATGGGACTTAAGCTTTGCTGACTAACTAGCATTTGTAACCCTTCCCTAGTTGCCAGAGGTGGTGGTGGTCAGCTGCGTTCTTGAACCACTGTAGTCTATGCACTGTAGTTGACCTTCAATGCCGTTAGGGAGGAAACTCCAGGATTTTGACCGAATAACAGTGAAGGAATGACAATGTATTTCCAAGTCAGGATGATGAGTCGCTTGGAGGGGAACTTGCAAGTGGTGGTGTTCTTACCCAAGCGCTGACTCGTCCTTCTAGATGGAAGTGGTTGTGAGCTTGGAAGGTGCTGCCTAAGGATCTTTGGTGAATCTCTGCAATATTTCTTGTAGATAGTATACACTGCTGCTACTGAGCATCATTGGTGGAGGGAGTGGACGCTTGCGGACATAGTGCCAATCAATTGGAATGATTTGCCCTGGATGGTATCAACCCTCTTGGGTGTTGTTGGAGTTGCATCCATTCAGGCTAGTGAGGAGGCTGTGAATTGAGAGGTGGGAATGTTCAACAATACTTGGGCATCCTCGTGTACCAGTTATTTTAAGTAAGCACACAGATACAGCAGGCAGTAAGGAAGACAGGCAGAGGATTTAAGTACATAAACAAGGATAGACTGCTGCAATTATACAGAGCATTGATAAAGCCACACCTGAAATATTGTGGGCAGTTTTGGTCTCCTCATCTGAGGAAGGGTGTTCTTGCTATACAGAGATTGCAGCAAAAAAGTTTACCAAATTGAATGCTGGGGTGGCAGGACTGACATGAGGAGAGATTGTCAGTTAGGAATATGTTCACAGGAATTTAGGGGAATGAGATGGGGAATCTCATAGAAGCCTATAAAATTCTAATAGGACTAGACAGGATAGATGCAGGAAGGACGTTCCTGATGGTAGGGGAGTCCAGAACCAGGAGTCACAATTTAAGGGTAAACCTTTTACGACTGAGATGAGGAAAAGTTTCTTCACTTACAGAGCGGTGACCCTGTGGAATTCACTACCACAGAGCGTCTTTGAGGCCAAAGCGTTGTGTGTTTCCAAGAAGGAGGTGGGTATAGCTCTCGTGGCTAAAAGGGATCAAGGGATATGGGGGTAGGCAGAATTAGGGTATTGAGCTCAATGATCAGCCACCATCATATTGAGTGGCAAAGCAGGCTTCAGGAGTCAAAAAGTCTACTCCTGCTCCTATGTTTCTAAAATGACAGCCCAAATTACAAGTCGTCTCTGGAACAAAACATATTCTGCCTCAGAGATGAGGGTACTACAACTGAGCCAAGGTAAGTGCCAAAATCTGAGATTCAAATATTTTGAACAGATTGTGCAACATCCAGGATGTTATTTTGTTCACGTTAGTCCAGCTGTCATTTTTAAAAGAATTACAATGCCCAGATAGTCACATTTTAAAATTTTCATAAAACTGAAAATCCAACAGTCAAGTTAAATTTGGCCACTTCCTCACTCCTGCCTACTGATCTTTAGGAAAAAAAAGTTCAACAGTTCACAAGATAAATGCAGCAAACTGCATGCACCTTTCTTGAATGCAATTCTACTCATATTTTAAAGAGGACAGAAAATACATCCATGTGACGATGCTGTCACTTTGAAAAGGTTATTTTGTCTTGGTTTTTTGAAGTGGGTACAGGAGACGGCCTTAGTCAACATCAGGGGAGGCTTTTAGGTTTTTTTTAAAAAAAGTTGTAACAATGGAAGAGGAATGGCCAGTTCTCATTTATCAAACTTTCTAGTTTTATTTTTAGCTGTAGAAATCAGAAGCTGTTTGGATCCCAGAAGAGTTGGAGCTTCAGTAAAATGATTCCTAGCTGCTACATTCTCTGAAATCTCTCAATGTTGTTTCCTCCTGGATTGGAGAATTGCCTGTAAGAATCTGTATCTAAATTTATCTTTTTGCCAAGGGGTGTGTTTACGAGATGTTACTAGATTAGAACAGATAATTAGTAATAGATACTGTATCTATTATTCAGTTAAGTTTTCCAATAGTTATCTAAATTCCTCTTTTGTTTTTATTTTAATTATAGTGTTTAAATAAATTGTGTTTTGCTTTACGTTGAGTGGTTTGACCAGCTGCATCGCATCTGGAACATGCACTCCACGCCTACCCTTAAGATTAGAAAAAGTTAGGGTCTAGGCTACCTTCTTAAAATATTTTGAGGGGGTCTGGTCTGGTCCATAAAAAACCTTAGTTGATATTTTCCTCCAAGGGAGGTCTATGACTGCTGCAACACACTTACTGCTGCTGCAACTGAAATGAGCCATTATGTCCAGATCAAGCAATTATGGGGCCTTCTTATTCGAAATACTTCAACAATGTTTATTGGCAATTGGAGTGATTAATGGGGCCACCAATTTGAAGTTTTACAAATAACCCATGGCCTTTTACTTTTCTCGTTATAAGGATCATATTGTCTGCGGCTCAGCGCAGATGCATTAACTTCACATAATAAATAATTTTTGGTGCTATGTGTTCTTCAGAGCTAAGTCAAGGATAACGTTTCTGAGGAAGCCATGCTCAAAGGAACAATCATCCAAAATTTAAGGTGGTCGCAGGGAATGGTTACTGCCCTAAATGTCAGATTTTTTAAATATAGATAGATGCACTCTCACTATAAGAGCACTGAATCTACTCTTAAAATTCCACTACAGTTTATAGGAATGACTTCTATTCATAAACTAAAACTGTCAACAGGCCTCAGACAGACTAAAACTTCCCACTCCCATCTGTACCCAATGATTGAAAACTAAATAGAAGCATAATTTTGGCCTCTGTATTTCATAGAATCTCAGAATCCCTACAGTGTGGAAACAGGCCCTTCGCCCCAACAAGGCCACACCGACCCTCAGAGCATCCCACCCAGACCCATCCCCCTATAACCCACCGAATCTACTGAACGCTACGGGCAATTTAGCATGGCCAATCCACCTAGCCTGCATATCTTTGGACTCCGGGAGGAAATGGGAGCACCGGGAGGAAACCCATGCAGACACGGGGAAAATGTGCAAACTCCACACAGACACAGTCACCCAAAAATGGTATTGAACCTGGGTCCCTGGCATTGTGAGACAGCAGTGCTAACCACTGAGCCACCGTACCACCCAATATTGTTTATTATTGTTTACTATAAAAACACAACATAAGAAGCCATGAGTCCTTCCAACAAAAAGCTCAGTATAGAGACACGGTTGTGAAGTCAACAGTGAGCTTCTAAGGGGAAACCCAAGGAAAAACGAGAAGAAATTAAAACAGTTTAAGTAATAGAATCACAAAGATTAGTGCATTTAATTCTTAGGATTATACCTATACTTAACACTCTTTCCAACAATCCTGGTTGATTGCTCCTTCTTTTCAACCATCATTTTTAGCAAGCAGCCGGTTTTATAGTCAGATGCTTACCAAGTGACAAATGTATTTTTACAGTT